TATACACCAGAAAAGACCAAGTTTCAACCAGGAGAACGTCCAACACAAGTTAGACCTGAGGACAACCTTAAGCCTGAGGGTGAATTTTACGCTCCTGAAAAACCTGGTTTTAGACCTGCTGAACGTCCAACTCAGAAGAAGCCAGAAGACAATTTGAAACCAGAAGGAGAATTTTATAAACACGAGAAACCCACTTATCAACCTGCCGAACGCCCAACGCAAAAGAAACCTCAAGATAATTTGAAGCCCGAAGGAGAGTTTCTTGTTCCGGAGAGAGAAACGTATAAGCCTGCTGAAAAAATTGAACGTATTATTAGTAAGGACAATTTGCACACAGAAGGTGAAATGACTTTTGGAACAAAAAAAGAATATCAATTTGTTATTAGGCCTAAACAAGTGAAACCCACTGATAATCTAAAGCCAGAAGGCGAATTTTATGCTCCAAAGAAACCTATGTATAAGCCAGCTGAAAAACCTCTACAAATCAGACACGAAGATAACTTAAAACCCGAAGGCGAATTCTATACTCCAGAGAAACTAGGTTTCATACCCGCAGAGCGCCTAGTGCAAAAGCGACCAGAAGACAATTTGCGTCCAGAAGGTGAGTTTTATGTACCAGACAAACAGGAATTTAAAGCTGCCGAAAGACCCACTCAGTTGAAGCCTGAAGATAATTTAAGACCGGAAGGAGAGTTCATGGTTTCCGAAAAAGAAATATATAAACCCGCCGAAAAAACTGTTCGTGTTGTAAGGAAAGACAACTTGCGCTCAGAAGGTGAAATGATTTTTGAAGCAAAAGAAGAATACCAATTTGTAAATAGACCAGAGCAAGTCAAACCGATAGATAATCTTAGACCGGAAGGCGAATTCTATACTCCAGAAAAACCAAAATACCAATCCGCTGAAAAACCAGTGCAAATTCGACATAAAGATAATTTAAAACCGGAGGGTGAATTCTATACACCAGAGAAACCTGGTTTTGAACCTGCGGAACGCCCAATTCAGAAAAAACCTCAAGATAATTTGAGACAGCAGGGAGAGTTTTATGCTCCTGATAAACCAGACTACCAGTCCGCTGACCGACCTATTCCCAAGAAACCTGAAGACAATTTAAGACCAGAGGGTGAATTCACTATTCCGGAGAAAACACCTTACCGACCAGCGGAAAGAGTCGAACGTATTGTTAGGAAGGATAACTTACGTTCCGAGGGTGAGATGACTTTTGAAACGAAGGAAGAATATAAGTTTGTTATTAGGCCAGATCAAGTGAAACCCGCTGATAATCTAAAACCGGAAGGCGAATTCTATGCTCCGGAAAAAGCGAAGTATCATCCCGCCGAAAAACCATTGATTATTAGACGTGAAGATAACTTGAAACCAGACGGGGAGTTTTATAAACCACAAAAAATCGATTTTGTTCCAGCAGATCGTCCCTCTCCAGTCAAGCATGAAGACAACCTTAGGCCAGAAGGGGAGTTTTATACACCCGAAAAACCTGGCTACCAACCGGCAGAGAGGCCAACTCTGAAAAAACCTCTTGATAATTTACGACCGGAAGGAGAGTTCACAGTTCCAGAGAAAACCACTTACACTCCAGCTGAAAGAACAGAACGTATAATAAGAAAAGATAACTTGCGCACTGAAGGTGAAATGAAATTTGAAACAAAAGAAGCATATCAATTTGTTAATAGACCTGAACAAATCAAACCTATTGATAACCTCAAGCCAGAGGGAGAATTTTATACTCCAGAAAAGCCAACGTATCAAGTTATAGAACGACCTTCTCAAATTAAACCTGAGGATAACTTGAAGCCCGAAGGTTTTTTTACAGTACCAGAGAAGTTAGTATACAAACCTGCTGAAAGGGTTGAACGTATCATAAGGAAAGACAATCTCCGCTCAGAAGGTGAAATGAATTTTGAAAGAAAAGAAGTATATAAGTTTGTCACTAGACCCACTCAGATTAAACCTACTGATAATCTTAAACCCGAGGGTGATTTTTATACTCCCGAAAAACCCATATATCAGCCAGCTGAGACACCGCTAGTTATTAGACACGAAGACAACTTAAGACCTGAAGGTGAGTTTTACACACCCGAGAAACCAGGTTATAGGCCCGCAGAGCGTCCAAAACAAAAAAAGCCTGAGGATAACCTTCGACCAGAAGGTGAGTTTTATTCTCCAGAAAAATCCGATTACATACCCGCAGAACGACCTATTCAGAAGAAGCCAAAAGATAACTTACGTCCTGAGGGCGAGTTTTATACACTTGTAAAGCCTGGTTATAGATCAGCAGAAAAAGTTGAACGTATTATTAGAAAGGACAACTTGCGCACCGAGGGTGAAATGACTTTCGAAACGAAAGAAAAATATGAATTTGTTAGCAGGCCTGAACAAGTGAAGCCTACTGACAATTTAAAGTCAGAAGGAAAGTTTTATACCCCAGAAAAACCAAAATTCCAACTTGGTGAGCGTCCATCACAAGTGAAACATGCAGACAACCTACGGCCTGAGGGAGAATTTTACACCCCACAGAAACCTGGGTATCAGCCATCTGAACGCCGCACACAGAAGCGTCCGGAGGATAATTTGAAGCCTGAAGGAGAATTCTATTCTCCAGCAAAACCTAAATTCCAACCTGGAGAGCGTCCATCACAAGTAAAGCATGCAGACAATCTACGGCCGGAGGGAGAATTTTATACACCAGAGAAGCCTGGGTATAAACCAGCCGAACGTCCCACACAGAAGCGTCCGGAGGATAATTTGAAGCCTGAAGGAGAATTCTATTCTCCAGCAAAACCTAAATTCCAACCTGGAGAGCGTCCATCACAAGTAAAGCATGCAGACAATCTACGGCCGGAGGGAGAATTTTATACACCAGAGAAACCTGGATATAAACCAGCCGAACGTCCCACACAGAAGCGTCCAGAGGATAATTTGAAGCCTGAAGGAGAATTCTATTCTCCAGCAAACCTAAATTCAACCTGGAGAGCGTCCATCACAAGTAAAGCATGCAGACAATCTACGGCCGGAGGAGAATTTTATACACCAGAGAAGCCTGGTATAAACCAGCCGAACGTCCCACACAGAAGCGTCGGAGGATAATTTGAAGCCTGAAGGAGAATTCTATTCTCCAGAAAACAAAATTCCAACCTGGAGAGCGTCCATCACAAGTAAAGCATGCAGACAATCTACGGCCGAGGAGAATTTTATACACAGAGAAACCTGGATATAAACCAGCCGAACGTCCCACAGAAAGCGTCCAGAGGATAATTTGAAGCCTGAAGGAGAATTCTATTCTCCAGAAAACCAAAATTCCAACCTGGAGAGCGTCCATCACAAGTAAAGCATGCAGACAATCTACGGCCGGAGGGAGAATTTTACCAGAGAAACCTGGATATAAACCAGCCGAACGTCCCACACAGAAGCGTCAGAGGATAATTTGAAGCCTGAAGGAGAATTCTATTCTCCAGAAAACAAAATTCAACCTGGAGAGCGTCCATCACAAGTAAAGCATGCAGACAATCTACGGCCGGAGGGAGAATTTTATACACCAGAGAAGCCTGGTATAAACCAGCCGAACGTCCCCAGAAGCGTCCGGAGGATAATTTGAAGCCTGAAGGAGAATTCATTCTCCAGAAAACCAAAATTCCAACCTGGAGAGCGTCCATCACAAGTAAAGCATGCAGACAATCTACGGCCGGAGGGAAATTTTATACACCAGAGAACCTGGATATAAACCAGCCGAACGTCCCACACGAAGCGTCCAGAGGATAATTTGAAGCCTGAAGAGATTCTATTCTCCAGAAAACCAAAATTCCAACCTGGAGAGCGTCCATCACAAATAAAGCATGTAGACAATCTACGGCCGGAGGGAGAATTTTATACACCAGAGAAGCCTGGGTATAAACCAGCCGAACGTCCCACACAGAAGCGTCCGGAGGATAATTTGAAGCCTGAAGGAGAATTCTATTCTCCAGAAAAACCAAAATTCCAACCTGGAGAGCGTCCATCACAAGTAAAGCATGCAGACAATCTACGGCCGGAGGGAGAATTTTATACACCAGAGAAACCTGGATATAAACCAGCCGAACGTCCCACACAGAAGCGTCCAGAAGATAATTTGAAGCCTGAAGGAGAATTCTATTCTCCAGAAAAACCAAAATTCCAACCTGGAGAGCGTCCATCACAAATAAAGCATGCAGACAATCTACGACCGGAGGGAGAATTTTATACACCAGAGAAGCCTGGGTATAAACCAGCCGAACGTCCCACACAAAAGCGTCCAGAGGATAATTTGAAGCCTGAAGGAGAATTCTATTCTCCAGAAAAACCAAAATTCCAACCTGGAGAGCGTCCATCACAAGTAAAGCATGCAGACAATCTACGGCCGGAGGGAGAATTTTATACACCAGAGAAGCCTGGGTATAAACCAGCCGAACGTCCTACACAGAAGCGTCCGGAGGATAATTTAAAGCCTGAAGGAGAATTCTATTCTCCAGAGAAACCAAAATTCCCTGGAGAGCGTCCATCACAAGTAAAGCATGCAGACAATCTACGGCCGGAGGAGAATTTTATACACCAGAGAAACCTGGATATAAACCAGCCGAACGTCCCACACAGAAGCGTCCGGAGGATAATTTGAAGCCTGAAGGAGAATTCTATTCTCCAGAAAAACCAAAATTCCAACCTGGAGAGCGTCCATCACAAGTAAAGCATGCAGACAATCTACGGCCGGAGGGAGAATTTTATACACCAGAGAAACCTGGATATAAACCAGCCGAACGTCCCACACAGAAGCGTCCAGAGGATAATTTGAAGCCTGAAGGAGAATTCTATTCTCCAGGAAAACCAAAAGTCCAACCTGGAGAGCGCCCATCACAAATAAAGCATGCAGACAATCTACGGCCGGAGGGAGAATTTTATACACCAGAGAAGCCTGGGTATAAACCAGCCGAACGTCCTACACAGAAGCGTCCGGAGGATAATTTAAAGCCTGAAGGAGAATTCTATTCTCCAGAAAAACCAAAATTCCAACCTGGAGAGCGTCCATCACAAGTAAAGCATGCAGACAATCTACGGCCGGAGGGAGAATTTTATACACCAGAGAAACCTGGATATAAACCAGCCGAACGTCCCACACAGAAGCGTCCAGAGGATAATTTGAAGCCTGAAGGAGATTTCTATTCTCCAGAAAAACCAAAATTCCAACCTGGAGAGCGTCCATCACAAATAAAGCATGCAGACAATCTACGGCCGGAGGGAGAATTTTATACACCAGAGAAGCCTGGGTATAAACCAGCCGAACGTCCTGTTCAGAAGAAACCACAAGATAACCTTAAATCAGAGGGCGACATTTATGTACCAGAAAAAACGGTGTTTGGACCTGCTGAAAAAAATGAGCGCATTATTAGAAAGGACAATCTTCATACGGAAGGAGAAATTATATTTAGCGAAAAAAAGGAATATGAGTTTGTTAAAAAGCCGGATCAAATTAAACCAACAGATAACCTAAGACCTGAAGGAGAATTTTATAAATTGGAGAAGCCTTTATACAAGCCTGGTGAACGACCTGTAGTGAAAATACCAAAAGACAATTTAAAGGTGGAGGGTGAATTTACGATACCCGAGAAGTCATCATTTAAGCCCGCCGAGAAAACAAAACGCATTGTCCGAAAAGATAACTTACACATGGAAGGTGAAATGACATTTTCAGAGAAAAAGCAGTGTCAGTATGTAAATAGGCCCGAAAAGATTGTACCCTCTGATAATTTAAGACCGGAGGGTGAATTTTACACTCCTGATAAGCCTGGATATAAGCCGGCTGAAACAGTGAGACGAGTCATTCACAAAGATAATTTAAAAATGGAGGGGGTGATGACCTTTACAGAAACGGAAAAACACGTAGGTGTCAAGAGGTCAGAAAAGATTGTGCCACGTAATAACCTCAAACCTGAAGGAACTTTCTACACTAAGGAAAAACAACAATATCAGCCGGCAGAGCGACCGAAACAAGTAAAACCGGAAGATAATCTTAAACCAGAAGGACATATGTATATTTCATCTACAGATAAAACCGATTCTAAACTTTTGAAAACTGCTACTGAAAAGGTGGTTGTTAAACGTCCAGTAGACAATCTCAAACTAGAGGGTACTTTTCAGATTTCCAGAAGAGACGACTACAATGAAAAACTAAGTTCAAGATTAGACACCACTAAAGTAGTACAGAAAACTGTCCGATCGAAGTATTCTCACAACAAATCGTCCATAACTCTTGGAGAGGATAACGCCATTTTGAAGACTACTAATCAAATGAACTTTGTATCTGGCAAACTAGCAATTCCTGCTGCAAATGTAAGTTCGGATAAGCCAGTCGACGGTTTAGTTGTAGTATCGACGAAAAAGGTAACTACAGTAATAGGTGGTCGGGTTAAAAGAGAACCTGAAACAGAATATGTTAAACGACAAGAGAGAGTAAATGTCATAGAAAACGTTGCAAAGACCAACAACGTTAAGAACATTGTAAATGTTGAAAATAAACACGACGAGGCAATTTCTATGACGGAAAATCGTATTAGAAAGGATAATAAAATGGTTGATACCCGCGTAAACGCTTCATCGAATGAGTCCTCCTCTGCACAATACAAAACTAGTAAAATTGGCAACACTTCAGAAAGAGTATTATCCAGTGCAACAATAGGAAAAGTCACGGGTCAGAAACACTCCACCCAATGCAAGTTTGACGAAATGGAGAGCACATCAGCAAAGCTAAACGCTGCTGGATCGGCTAAAATTATGTCAGATCAAACACATTCCACACAACAAAAATCTACAGCCGTTGAAAGCGCTTCAACAAAAACAACATCCAGTTCTTCAGCTACTACTGCATCCAAACATTTTCATCATCGAAGAAGCGACTTCACTGCCGATACGAACGTTACAAACTCAGTATTTCATCGAAAAACCATTTCTAACGATTCCAATCAGATAGACAGTCTTACATCGAATGGTAAAATTCATCGCAAGAGTATTTTGAACTTGAAAGAGGAGCCATCGAGTTCGGTTTTCCCTAGTGAACGTCAAAGTTACAGCAGTATACATAGACAAAGTAGAGAACAACAAGATAATAATAATTCATTTTTGGTGAGTGAACGACGACACTTTAACACGCTTAGCAAATCACAAAATAGGGATCAGATTTTGAAGTCATGCAGTGTTCATAAAACATCGTCTTCCAGTGGTATAGAATTTCCATCATACAGTAAACATTCCGAAAGAACTGTATCCCGTAGAAATGTCAACCAATCATCCATTTCTCTAGGTATGGATGGAGCTTCGTCTACAACCCTATACCGTAGTGAATATAAAACGGTTCCATCTACAACTTGTGCTATACACAAAATCAAAGAAGGTGCATTCCAACACACTAGAAACACGAACGAACATAAATTTTTTAAAACTGTTAAGAATTAATTAACTAATTAACCCATATACAATTTTAAAACGCATGTGTCGACATTTAATCCTTTAGCTCTAATATTATAGTATATGTAAATATTAAGCATGCAGAATTGCCACATACAAGTATACATATGTATTTAATAATAAATTTATACACATATATAAAAAATTAACATCCACATATATTTGGAGTTTAATATAAAACTGTAGAACTGTGAACGTACAGAAAGGTAACAGACTCTATTCTTGAAATGCCTATAATTATTCCTAATTGCGGCTGAGTATAAAACTGGATGGCTTAATATATCTTTTCTATTATCCAAGATACGTTTCAAAATCGGGGCATCTTTCTATGCTATAGCTAACTTGCCTATAAAGTCAATTCTTCCATTAATATTAAGGTTTAGGCTTGTATTTAGCTAAAGTAAGCATATAGTGTAAACCACTTTGGCATACAACAGCAATTTTAAGTGTTTTCTTAAATATCAGTACTAGGTTTTGGAAGGACTTCTCAGTCCCTAAGATTATACATATGTCTATTATCCGACATTGACATTGTATGATGAAAAGCTAGCAAGAAACATGTTTACTAAAATTGGCTTTAAATGTTCCATATACATATGTCTAGCCGTATATCTATCTCAATTAATTTTTGCAGTTGGAAACAACCAGCTGGCAGCATTTTCGTTCGTGCAGATTCGATTGACTATATTAATATCATTGTAATCCTGAAAGAAGTAAAAATTTCCTTTTTTCTCTATGGACAAATTCTTTTTTAATATACATAAGTACATATGTATGTACATAAATTTCACCTGAATCCTGAGCAAGCATTACTATTTTTATTATAATTTAAAATTTACATTAAGGTTCGACGTGTTTTTTTGAGCTTGACGATTTTCGTCTGTACTGTGACTATGCCCCATACTCGCCAGACATGGCTCCGTGTGATTTTTCCTATTTCCAAAAATAAAGATAACCTCAAAGGACTGTCTTTTTACAATCATAGATGACAATAAAAGCGCATCGTTGAAAGAGCTAAATGCTTTTCCAAAAATCGAGTTTGAGAATTGTTTCGACTATTGGAAGCACCGCTGGCATAAGTGCATAATTTCGATGACGACTATTTTGAAGGCGACACATTGATGTAAACAAATAAATTCGTTTTTTTTTTCAAAAAACGAGACTTCCCATTTATTTTTGAGCACACCTCGTAAATCACTTGAAATAAACACACAATTCTTGTTATAACGAGGTTGCAGTGCTTTTGAAAGGAAATAGGTTACATGCATTTTTGACAGATAGTTAGTTAACCAAGCTTGATTGAAACCTCGAAGAATACTTAAACACCGAATAAAACTTACTTTATATTCGTTTATGTTAAGCATTGCCCTTTATATTCTTAAATGTTTGGTACCTGATATTTAATGAAAAAGTGGAATACACTCTACGCCTAAATTTTAAGATTCTCCTTATGTTCTTGCGTTTTCAATTAAAATCGCATTATAAATGGGCATGGATAACAGAGGGACTGACAAACATCGCGAAATCAATTATTTCATGGTTGTGGCATATATAATATGTACATCCGTTGATTGACTGAGGTAAGTTAGACGAAACCGTGAATATATTCCAATCATATTTGGCATGTTATTAACTTATATTACACCGGTCAACAGCTTTTGCGCGCGGATTATACATCCAAAATAAGAATAAGAGTAAAAAAAGTTCTGTATTTGTATTTATGTATACAAAATGGAAAAATTCAACTCAATAAAAATACACAAAAATTTTACATGTGTATAAATAATTTATTAAGAGATACCTATCATCCATTTAGGACCTTTTAAATAGACTCCAAATCTTTAAAAATGGACAGCTTTACTTTTCATATCATGTTCGGTAGAAGTTTCTCATATTAACCCCCAAATTTAGTCTCCAATACTGTATACTGGCCTTGGTAGCGTCTCTCAAATTTTATTATATTTTGATAAAAGTGTTCTCCTTGTTATTCCGGATAATCATCGTTTATTTCATCCTGTTTTCTCCTCATTGCTAACTTCAGGAAAATATGGCAATCCATATTTTTTTATTTGAGAGTTAATATCGTTTACGCGATATGAGTTATTAAAAATTCCTTTGAGCTGCAGTGAAATGTGTACTCTATATTGATATTCTTAAGACTGACTAGTTTACATAAATCTTAGTGCTATTTATACTATTGAGCTGTATCGATAGTTATCTGTTTACTAACAGATAAAACTATTAGTTTCTATTGTTATCTTTGGGTTGTTATTCATAGTGCATTTCTATTGTTATGTGTTCTTATCTTTAGTATTTATATTTAACAATGTGTGTTAGCTGATAGATATGTTTACATATGCTTATTTCGATTTTGTGTATTTATGCTAGTGATATGCTATATCACTTATATGTATGTACATATGTATATGTACGATGTGTATGTGAAGTGTAGAGATCACATATTGTATTGCAGATATGTATGCGGTGTGCGGCTATGTCGTTAACTCCCCTCCCTCTTAAAACGGAGCGTCCTCGCTTGCTGTTGAAGACGGTTCATTTCGATTTCGTATAACTCGTCAATTTGCCTTTGTCTGTTAAGTACTTTTCTATTTTCGTGGTATCGGCAGAGATTTACAATACTATAAGTAATGACTACTAAAGTAAGGAATCCCATTATGATAAAGAACGTCAGCTGTACTGGGTTTTCTTCAATAGGTATCAAAAATGTTGAGAGTTTTTGGATATTACTGAATTTGTAGATTGAATTTGAGGAAAGGATACGGAGTACTTCAAAATTTTCGCTGTGTTGATTGTGTATGATTTCTCTGAGTTGTCCTTGATGATTGCAGTACGTGATATTATCGATGTTTGTGGATTCATTAAAATGTATCAATTTAGGGCCTGATATATGTATGTTGTTCCAAGTATGCTGGTAATCTGTAAGATGTGGAGTGGAGCATTGTTTTCATGGATTGTATCGCATTGGGCTGATTTGTCTTCTAATATTTTTATAGTACAATTGTCAGAGGGTTCTGATTTACAAATAAAGGTACTCATATAATTTTTACATTTAGATACTCTTTGATAATTGTTACATTTTGCGATCTTAAGGTCTAAATTAATTTTACCATGCTTATGTGCTAAAGGGTATACATTAAATAGGCTGCATTTAGTTTCGAGGATAGGATATTTGTATATGGTTATAATTGCTTCTTGTAGGTAACAGATATGAATGTCTGCATACTCTAATATATTAATTAATGGAAGATCCAACTTTTCATGCTTTATTAAATCATATACATCTTTTAAATTTAGTGTGCCAAAGTAAAAATTATTAGTTTTTGCAAAATTTATAGTGTTCGTTATTGATTGGAGTTCATTATAAACTTCTGATATAATAATTTTTTTTGAGTATTTGTCGGTTGAACTAATGTATATATTATTGTTCATAAAAAATAAATCTAAGTGTATGTATTCGCCTACTTTGTTCGGTATTGGTGCTGAACCTATTGGTTGTTTATTTGGTCGGCGTTCATACTTGTTTGTGAGACAAATTTCGCAGTCCTGTACTTCTTTTTTACAAGCGTCACGTATGTTTGGCCAGTAGTATCTGAGCGAAATTTCCTGTGCGTTATTTTTGTAGTTTCTGTGAGCACGTCTGTGTGTGTCTTGTATGATTCGTTGTTGTTGTTCGGTTTCGGTGATGTGTTCTACCAATTTTTGCGCTAGTACAATTGATACAGTCGGAAATGTGTTGATAATCTCGTTTTCTACGTAAAATAATATTTGTTCGTCTATAAGAAGTTCGTTAGTGACCTTTGGTCTACTTATAGTTTTTAGTCTGTGTAGTAATTCAGTTTTTGTGTTAAAAAAAAGCGTGTGTCGGCTGTTAGAAAATATGTTTTGTGACAATATTTCGGCGGAGTTTTGATCTGACTGATTCACAATAATTTGATTTCTAAAGGAGTTTATTGGCTTCTTTACTCGTTTGAGTTTTTGTGTTGGGGAGCTTTGTGCTGAATGTTGGGAGTCATCAGAATTTACAGTATTGTTTATTTGCTGGCGAGAAAGTGCATCAGCGATAACGTTCTGATGTCCGGGTTTGTTAACGAGTTTTGCACCATATTCTTCAATGAAATTTTTTCATCTTTTTAATTTTGTATTGGGGTTTTTTTCTGATATGGAGAAGATTAATGATTGATGGTCAGTGTAAATTGTTAAATCTGCTATACCATACAAGTAATTACGTAGCTTCTGTAGTGACCACACAATTGCTATGGTATGATATGGGTTTTTGGTTTTGAGATAATACGGCTCCTATAGCGTAATTGCTAGCATCTGTGGTTAATTCGAAGGGTTTGGTAAAATTTGGTTGGAAGAGTTCAACCTGGGCTTGTAATTCTTCTTTTATTTTGTTTAATGCTTATAGTGCACGTTCGTCTAAGCTGATTTTTATTTTTGCACTTTGATTCTTGGATATGCCACCGTTCTCTCCTCTGAGGAACGTGGTAAGTGGCTTGACTATTCCAATGAAATGGATAATGAAATTCTGTATGAATTTTCGATAATAACTCGCAAGGCCTAGAAAGGATCTGAGTTCCTTAAGCGTTATGGGAATAGGAAAATCTTTAATGGTTTGTATTTTTGAAGGATCAACTGTAATCCTGTTATATTTAATTATATGACCTAAATATTCTACAGAGTCCTGGAAAAAAGTGAGATTTCTCGTTGGAGATCTTCATGTTGGCCTGGTGAAGCGCGTTTATTATTATGCGGATGTGCTCGATAGTTCTTCGGGAGAGGAAGAATGAGAACGTCGTCTATATAAACGTATGCGAACTTGCCGATATATGGTCTCAAAATATCATCTACACATTATTTGAAAATTTATGGAGAATTTTCAGGCCGAACGGCATACGAAGGAATTCATATTTAGCTCCATTTACGCTAAAGGCGGTTTTTCCCTGTCAGATTCTTTAATAAGGATCTGATGGAAGCAGACTCTAAATCTAAAGTTGTAAATACTTTTGCATTACTAAACTCTGTATGGTCATAACACATCAGGTATGGGGTATCTATCTGTAATAGTTTGAGCGTTTAGCTTTTGAAAGTCTACAACCATTCTGCGCTTAGGTTCCCTTGTTCATCGGTACCTTTTTAGCGACTGTCCAAATGGGAGAGTTGTAGGGACTTTACTGGGTTGAATTATTTCATTTTCTAAAAGTTTGTTAATTTCTTTGTTAATGAAATCGCTATCTGACATGAGGTACGGATATTGCTTGGTCCAAATAGGATTTCGGAGTTCGTCCTAATGGTAGCTTGTATCGCGGTAGTATAAGGTAGCACTTCGTTGGTGATTTCATTTTTGCATATTTCTTCGATTTCTGCCCTATAATTTTCACTATTAACCGTATATTAATTTTTTGCAAAGATCTCACTTTCTTTCTTGCCCTATATTTATAACTGAGCTTGTACTCGAAAAGGTTGATCTCTGCTTTAATTTTCTAAGTCCCTGTTCACCCAGAAGCATATCAAATTCTTCTAATGCATCTGTTTCAAAAATGTAAGATTATGCTCTAATAATGTAATATTTTTTGATTTGGTTATAGATAACCATGAAGGGTTTTCACTTTTACTGGCTTAATTTTAATTGGCTTACCTATATTGCACTTTGTGCTAATATAATTTTTCGTTGCTCCGGTTTGCCTGTATCCCTGCCTTGGCGTTGCAGACACGGCAAATCGTTCATGCGCCTAAAAAGTATGCCTGTTTCGTATTCCTCATTTTCATATTCTGGTACAAGTGATGTTAATTCTTCGTCGCGTGTTTGGTTGACACGTTGCACCTTCTGTGGTACGTTTCGAGAAGAAGAATTTTTATTGAATTTGGTGTCGTGGTTTATTAAAATATCGGCCGCTTCTCCTTGAATTTTTGAATGTACAATTGAGAGTGCCGTGTAATATGTGGGTGTAGTAACGTGATCCTTCCATCCTTGATGTTCTCCATGTGTGAGCAATAAAATTTCTCCATGACCTATAGTGGTTCGCGTCACCTGTAAATATTGGTAACGTTTTGAACACTTTTAGGTTGATTTGTGATGCGTCGGTAATGTTTGGTGTACAGCCCTGGTATTGGTTGGTGACTGTGACGTTAGGTGTTGGGTGAGTTGCGAAGGAATTCACTCTTTGTTGGGTTTCGGTGAGCGTTGTGGTTAGAGCAGCGATTTGTGCTCTCAGGATTGCGATCTCCTGTGTTGTCATATCGGAGTTTATGTCCAACGATACACGTGATGAATTGAATGCTTTTCGTTTGATTCGCGATTCCAGTACGATGTTATTCCGATTTTTCAGGAATTTTTTTGTTGAATTTTAAGCACTTTTTTCAAAAATCTAGTGCTGGAATTCCTACTTCCCGTGATATTTTAATTTTATCCTTCTTTAGGATCGCGGAGTTCCTGTCTTTTCAAGGATGTTTCCTGGCTTTTTTGATAGCAAGTAAAAATTTGCTATCCCGGTTGAGCCCCCAGTTAATATCGTTTACGCGATATGAGTTATTAAAAATACCTTTGAGCTGCAGTGAAATGTGTACTCTTTACTGATATTCTTAAGACTAACTAGTTAAATAAATCTTAGTGCTATTTATACTATTGAGCTGTATCGCTAGTTATCTGTTTACTAACAGATAAAACTATTACTTTCTATTGTTATCTTTGGGTTGTTATTCATAGTGCATTTCTATTGTTATGTGTTCTTATCTTTAGTATTTATATTTAACAATGTGTGTTAGCTGATAGATATGTTTACATATGCTTATTTCGATTTTGTGTATTTATGCTAGTGATATGCTATATCACTTATATGTATGTACATATGTACATATATGTACGATGTGTATGTGAAAAGTAGAGATCACATATTGTATGCAGATATGTATGCGGTGTGCGGCTATGTCGTTAACTCGTGCACATATTCCAGCTTTTATTTTCGCCTCTAAAAGCTTTGAAAAAAATGTTTTCAAATATTTGAAGAATTGGGCAATTCTCGGCACTGCAAATTTTATTGCTTACCTCAGTACCAGCCTACAATAAAACGTAACATATTATAACCTAATTATGTTATCAAAATAGTTAATAATTATCATAAATAAATATAGTTTAAAACAAGTAAGGAAGGGCTAAGTCGGATGTACATTTTATACTCTCGCAAAGTTAAATAGTATACTCGTTTGTGATTTCTTTATATATTAGAAATATGAACTGTTGCCTCAGTTATTTACATTCACAGTGAAATTAATTAGAGCAATTTGTAAACTAAATTTACTCAAATTATGCGAAATCGTTCTTTTGTTTTTTGTATACGCTTATAATTGAGTTTATATGGAATGCATTACAACTGTATTGAGGAATATGAAAAGTAATCGTTTTTGGACAATGAATAACATTTTTTATTTTGTATATATCGATATTATTGTACATGTTTAGTTTAAAAATAATAAATATTAATTTTAAAATTTTTAAAATTTTTATAGACATTCTTATTCATATATCCAAATTATATTTCTTTTCTCCTTATACTACAAGTATTTGTTTTACATCATATATTTACACAATAATGTCTTATATACATATAATTTAAATTTTCTTAATTAGATTATTTACATATTTTTCTTAAAATTGTCTTAAAAACTACGGTCAAAATTGCTATACCATTCTAATTCGAATATATTTAAAAAGAATTTAGAACTATTGCACTAAGTCTGAAAACTAAGAGTCTGTCTCAAAAGTAATTGCATTAACATGGGATCCATGTTTAAAAATGCCCAATCAATTTGTGTACCGGCAGGTGTAGTTGAATATTCTACACCAAGCAGGGAACTAAGTTTTTTCTTGGAGCAACAAATGTTAAAATCTCCAACAATTGATTGCATAACCCAGAAGTAAGGACTTCCTGAAGTTCTACAATTAAATGTCTGACAGAGAAAGCTGAATTTCTGTATAGAACCAGAATATTAATATTGAAACATTTAAACAAAACCGCTTCTAAAACTTTGCGGCCTAAACAAATTTTCTTTACAGCTTTTGGTACTATAGAGCTAGTAATACTTTGCTTTGCATATATTACAAGTATAATGTCCCGTTTATTTCTGTTGCTTGTTTCCGTGCTATCTATCATCAGCTCATTAATTGGAGTAAGTCCTGGTATATCAAAACTTTCGCAAGGATAACTCCAAGTTTCTACAAAAGATAAAATATCTAAAGATAGCATCAAACAGTCGCTTTTTATATCATTAATGTGAGCGTGAAGAATCTGACCATTATGGAATAAAATTGGATTTCCTGATGTTTAGGAAATCATAAAATTGAAACTTGCTGTCAAAGCTTTATTTGTGTTCAATTCCCTCAGTTCCCTAATACAGGATCCCATTCAGAAAATTTGTTAGGAGAAATAAAATTTCCTATGACGAATAGACCTTCTGCAGAAGTAGCTCAACTACAAGCGACGTATATTGAAGCTCTAGGCATTATGGGTCGTGTATGAACTACAACTTTATTATATGTGGCGCCCTATTATGAATAGTTATTCATTCAGCCGGAACAACTGGATACTGATTTCTTTCAATTGAAATTTGTTCATTTTTTTTATATTGAAAAGATTTTAGAACTTTTTCAATTGGTGTCTAAGAACTTTCTAGAGGATGAGGCTTTTTTGATCGTGTTATCAAATCAACAGAAAGTTCCAAAAATTTAATCCACAGAATTGTTGGTAAAGAATAATGGAAATCAATTTGCATAAGTTGCCCAGCTGCCCCATTAACCAAGCCATCACACGTGTTTATATTCACTGTATTCATATATTTGGCGGAGGTTTTTAGTGTTAATACATAGGGCAATCCCTGCGCTTCAGAAGTTTTCAAAAGTTTAACCATTTCGGAAATATTCTCATTTTCACTTATACCAATTCCTTTAACCCTTTTAGTCTAGTCTTTTGCAGTTGAAAGGATAGCTTCAGCTAGGATTCGACTGTGCTTAAGGGCATTGAAATTATTTGTCTTTTCATTGGACCAAAATAAATGTATTGCATCATCGGAAACTTTCTCGAAATTAACTACTCGAGTTTCAATGAGTGATATGTCCTCATTTGTCATAGTATCACATGCCATATGGTTTAATGCAATTGCAAAGGCCTGATCTTCTCGTTGCCTCATTGTTTCTGTCAATTCAAAGTATTTAAATAACTCCAGCAAAGGGGAACCAACTAAGGTGATGTATTCATCAGTGGGATTAGGAGAGAATATCCACCTATCTCCAACAGGTGAGAGTTGCAAAAAATCACCAAACACTATGATCGGTATACCACCGAAGTTTCTGTTTTGAAAATTTGTTTTAATCTCGCATCAACAGAGCTAAACATACGAGCACCTACCATCGATATCTCATCAATTATGATTAATTTTAAATCGATAAGTCTGGATTACAATTAATTAACTGTGTCATTGCCAAATGGCCTCAACTCTCTATTCAACTGATTAACAGGTAAAGAGAATATTGAATGAAGGGTCATTCCACCTATTCCGATTGCTGCTTTACCGGTAGGTGCGCAAAGAAGAACTTTTAATGAACTTGGATTGGATCCAGGTGTAGAATTGTAACGATGGTTAAGAGCTTGATATACTGCTGATATCAAACGACTCTTCCCTACACCTGCACTGCCGCCAATGAACTCATAAAATCGGCGATTTGTTTTTAGCTGGTGCATCAAATGTGTCAAATAGGTTCTTTGCTTAGTATTTAAACTTTGATCTACAGAAAATAATTCCTCAACTGGAATTAAAGGGGGTAGTTTAATAAGTCTAATATTGCAATCAGATTCAGTGCCATTATCTGTTGAATCTTCACCACGCAAGTCCAGCAAATTTATATTTGGGTTTTTTTCTGGAAGTGCCAACACTCTAAACTCATTTTCCACGATAGATAGTTTATTTTAAGCACCTTCCTTTAAGTTTATTTCATTATAAAGACTTTATGGAACATTTTCAAGTTCTCTTTGCTCAAAAACATCTGATTAGATTTTTCTCAATTAGAATACGATGTGTTATGCAAGTCTGCTCATTATCGTTTTCAATGAGATCTTGTTGTTCATTCCGCCATTGATAGTAAATTATTACCATTTCGCGGAAATACTCAACTCTGGTCAATTCTGGGTTAAACATTCTATACCGAATTATACTAGGTTTGTCTTAAAAAGGCATGACAACCCCGCTTTCTTGTAAATTATCGTCTTCCCTCTCTTCTTCTTCATGATCACTGTCTTGTGCTCTTCTACAAGATTTAAAATATTTATACCTATATGCAAAATCGGCTAAACAAAGAGTTTCTAACTGATCGGATCTTTGAACATAACGGTCTAAAATACCGGCTACGAATATTTCAGTCGAGCCTGAAGGAAAGTTCTGAAGTTCCGCTCTAGGTTTTACCATTCCTCAGGTCGAGAGGTATTTATAAATATTTCTGCATTACTTGCTTCCGAAAGATGGAGCCCAATGCAGCAATATACTGCTTCTTGTGCACATATTTCTGTGTCTAATATAAATTTGTGACCTATATGGAAGGTTATAAGCGTTTATAAAACGATCCTGTAATTTTCTTTCTTGGGTTTTTTTAAACTTGATCTGAGGGCTAACAAATAGTCATAAAAAGACATATTTATTCTACTATAAGACAGGAAATGTTCAAAATTGTTTAAATTATAAATGTCTTCTTTAGTCATATTTGAATTTAAAATGTTTTGAATTTTGAAAAAGTTTTCCTTGTGTCTTTCTGAATTTTGACTTGTTTCTGTAAGAGGTAACAGTATTTGCGTTAAAGGCATTGGTGGATATGGTATACCAAAACGACAAAACTGTTGTCTTCTTATTTCCCATTATTCACCATCTGTAGAAATATAATTGTCAATAAAAATTTGTCAGGAAATGTCTGAGGAACTTGAAGGTTGATCCAGGGAGCATTATTAAGCCAATACATGCCATGTACATGCGGGGAACCTCTCTGTTGAAACTCCACTCTCCAGTAAGAATTGTCGATAGCGGTAGTTCAAATATCTAGCACAAGTAACCGCGTCTGACCGAATTAGGCGATATCTATCATGGGTTGTTAAACTGTTGGCTTCCTCTTTCGAAATATCTTTAGAATCAATGGTTTATAAGAGGACGACCAAAAGCTCAACCAACTGAAATTCCTCAGCCGATTAAGTGATAAAGAAGGTTGGAAGCCCAAATTGTAGAATCATAGCGATTGCTTTTTTCTTCTCAGCTACTCAGTGTGCAGGAGAAGATCTAACGCCTTTCAAAACCTTGTAATCATCATCGTGTTGAATCAAGTTTTGAACAAAGCTTTCGTTTAATAGATTTTGGGCCCTAAATCGGTTGCGACCTGAAAACTTCCTAAGGCAAATGGATGTACTATTCTTAATTTGTAGCAGTTCTAATTTATGTAATCATAGAACAACTTTGGAATGGTACAAAACAAACGGCGAATTTTAGAACGTATTATCTTGTTATACGTTTTAGAGCATGTACGCTTCTGCCCAACAAATGACAACTCTTCTGAATTATTATCTTGAATTATGTTTCATGTATATTCCAAGTTTTCTACAGGAATATTGTCCAAAAGAGTTTCTTGACCGCCCGGATTTAGCTCTGAAGGTAAAAGAGCCATAGCAATATTATTACCTGAGGGATTATCATGAGAAGTTTGTGCCGCATGAAAAGATTGAACTAATTGTGTATCCTCTGCA